ACAGAATATTTCGACGCAAGAAGACAATTGCTTTGCTTACCGGAAGGGAAGAAGAAACAAGGTTGGATGGCCTTTGCGGAGGGGTTGCAGCAGTTTCTTGTCTCTGTCGATGTGGTGTTGGAGCAAGAACAAAGTTCAGCACCCATTAAAAGCCTAGAGAAGCCGTTGAAGAAGAGCTCATGCAGTGATGGTGAACTTATTTCGAGCTCTAATACGGGGGTGAAGCTGTGGTTTGAGGGTGAGAAAGAAGACTGGGAGCGGAGAATGGTGATCTTAGCGAGCAAAGCAATACAAGATTGGAGGAAGGTCCCAAACTCAGTGGTGCACAACTTGAAGCTGGAGTCCGAGGTTGCTCTGAAACCATTCTCAGACAGGAAGGTAGTGTTGAGATTTGGCGATGAAAAAATCAGGGGATTTACATCTTTTGAATGTGAAGAAGGTTTGATTCAGATTCAAAACTGGAAACCGTTGTGTAATGAGATGGAACATGTCTGCAGAAGTTTCCTGCTCAAATTGGTAGGTCTTCCCTTCCATCTCTGGAGTGAAGCAAATCTGGGAAATATTGTGAAGCTGCTGGGCGGAGAAATGGAGGAAGTCCATCTGCAAGATTTTCGTGCCGCTGTGGTTAGGATGGTCGGGGTGAGACCGGAATCGCTCGAACAATAGAGGTTCTTGCTGAAGGTACATGGAGGCAGAGTTGTAGGGACAAAGACCCAAGGTAGAAGACGATGCTGACGTGGAGGGTTGGACTACTAGGGGCCTACAGCTGGAGGGTAAGACTGAACATAGGGGCAGCTTAAAAAGGAAGCTGAAAAGTCGGTGGGAGAGAACCAAAAGCCACGAAATCTATTAAAAGAAATAAATTCAAAATTTTTTGAATTAGCGGGTAATTCGAAGGGACAAGACACCTTCGCTAACGTGGTTAAGAAAGGGAGATTTTTGCAGGTCGGGTCATCTGAACCGGTGGGTGGACCGATCGGCTCAGCCAGAAGGGGGAATCCCTACCCACGTGATTGTTTAAGTGAGGACGTGGGTCGGGGAGACAGTTGGGGATCTCAGGCAGTCAGAGCAAAGCTCAAGTACTCTCCGGTGGGTGCCTCGCGCAGTTCTTGAAACACCCAGGAGGGACAAACATCACAAGACAGACCAAACCCCAGGTACGATCGAGCTCATCTCGAGGAAAAGGATGGTTTTGACGAGGGCTGGGTGGACTACGAAATGGAGGAAGAAGACGTGGATAGCCAATCCAGTTTAGGCAGTGTTTTGGGTGAGAAGTTTTTAGAGGAAGAAGCTGCTGCAACTTTTGATTTGGATACATTGTTCTCACAAAGACCAGGTGCGGTTACGTCTCACTGTGCTGAGGAAGAGCCGTACATTGTTGTCGCTGAACACATTTCGAACTCTAGGGGTGAAAACACTAACTCACACTCAGAAGCTACATCTCAAAATCTCCTTGCCGAACAGGTGTAAAACCAGAGCTTTTCTGGTTTGTTTTTCTTATTTTCATTCATTGAAGATTTAGATATATATACACAGTCATACACAGCCATCGAACATCGAATCTCCTAAATTTACAGGAACTCAAACTCAAAACGAACTCCTAATTCGATCATAACTCAGCGGAGTTTCCTAATCCCGGAGACTCCCAATTCAATCCTAACACCCCCTATCAAGTTGGAGCATGCAGATTGTGAATGCCCAACTTGCGAAGAAAATACTCAAATTCTCTACGACCTAGTGCCTTTGTAAAAATATCTCCCAACTGAACGGTAGTTGACACATAAGCGGGACGAATGCAACCATTTTGAATCTCATCACGAACAAAATGGCAATCAACTTCAATATGTTTCGTATGCTCATGAAACACTGGGTTTGCTGCAATATGCAAGGCTGCCTGACTATTACAATATAATCAATCGCATTGGGTTCGAATGCGTCACTCCAAGGGCCAATAACAATCCCTTCAGCCATTTTAATTCACACGTGGCCATAGCCATAGACCGATACTCTGCTTCCGTTGAAGAACGAGCCACAGTGTGTTGTTTCTTAGTTTTCCAGGAAATCAGCGATCCCAAGTAGAATAAACCACCCAGACAGGGAACGTCGGGACAAAGGACAACTCGCCAAGTCTGAATCACACCATGCATATAACTGCAAGTCACAATCTGAACGCAAGAGAATTCCTTGACCAGGATTTCCTTTCAAGTAGCGCACCACTCGCAATGTAGCCTCCCAATGTTTTTCTTGCGGTTGCTGCATGAATTGGGACAGAACGTGCACACAATAAGACAACTCAGGACGAGTTGCTGAGAAATAAATAAGCCTGTCCACCAAGCGCCTGTATCGCTCAGGATCAGATAAGAGAGGCCCATCTGTCAATGTTAGATTGTGATTCTGCTCCATAGGAAAAGGAGCAGGTTTTGCACCAAGTAATCCAACTTCAATGATAATATCCAGAGTATACTTTCGCTGAGTCAGAAAAAATATTTCAATGGTCCCAAGTCTTTCATATGGAAGCAGTCACTCAAATATTTCTTGAAGACTTGAATTGCCATATGATCATTACCTGACACGATAATGTCGTCCACATACACGAGGACAAGCACATGTACCTTGTCTCGACGAAAGGTGAATAGGGAGTAATCTGAACCTGATTGCTAAAACCCATATGTATTCAAGGTTGCGGTTAATTTAGCAAACCAACATCTCGGTGCTTGTTTCAAGGCATACAAGGATTTTCGCAACTGACACACCATACCTAGTTTATTTGACTGAAAACTAGGAGGCATTTGCATGTAGACTTCCTCATGAAGGTCACCGTGCAAGAATGCATTATGTACGTCCATTTGATGAAGCTCCCAATTTCTAGCTGTTGCGACTGCAAGAAAGGTACGGAAAGTAACCATTTTTGCAATTGGGGCAAAATTTTCATTATAATCAATTCCCTCAACCTGCTTGTTCCCAAAGATCACGAGACGGGCTTTGTATCTTTCCACTGTCCCATCAGCGTTGTACTTGATTCGATATACCCATTTGCATCCTATGGCTCGTTTTCCGGATGGAAAGGCTCTACGGTTCATGTCTAATTATTCTCAAGTGCCTATATTTCTTTCTGCATTGCATCCCTCCATTTTCCATCCTTTACGGCATCAGCAAAAGAAGTAGGTTCAACTCCTGTAGTAATAGTTGCCAAGAAAGCACGATGTTGACAAGAAAAATTGTTACAATTCACAGTTATCTATGGGATAAGGACTACCTACAGGATGTGATTGGCTGAGTGAACTTGCAAAGGGACGCGGAGAGGGACTCAAGCGTTGTATGGTGTGAAGCACATAGTCTCTTAACCTTGTGGACTGCTGTTTCTGTCAATGCCCACGCCCAAATGAGAATCAGAGTGTTGTTGTTGCTCAACATTGCCACCCCCCCTAACGTCAGGACTGTCTTCGCTTGTATTTTCTGTGGTGACGTCAGAAGAATGCATGGGTTCACTAGTATTGGCATTTGGGTCTACGTGGGTTCCTTCTTTTACATTGCCTCCTTCTTCTGCAAGTTCACATCGCTGGTTAGTCTCCATCTCGCCATTTGCTTGTCCTAGTAAACAAGTGGACGGCACCAACACCTCATCTGTCCCACCTATTCCACAATGAAATTAGCCTTGTGCTTTGTTTTGTTGTTTATCCTCCTTGCGTGCATAAGGGAATTCATCCTCTAAAAAGGTAACATTTCTTGATGCAAAGAACGTGCCGGACTCTAAATCATACAAGCTCCATCCTTTCTTTCCAAAAGGATACCCAACAAAAACACACTGTCTCCTTCGACTGACAAATTTATCCCCTCCATGTCCATGATTGTGCGCATATGCCAAGCAACCAAAAACTCGCACATTATCATAAGAAGGAGGTCATCCAAATAAAACTTCATAGGGAGTATTTCCCTTCAACAGAATGGACGGTGTCCGATTGATCAAGTAACATGTGGTCAATACACATTCCCCCCAAAAATCAATAGGCATGCTAGCTTGAAAACGCAATGCTCGGGCAACATTGAGTATGTGCCGGTGTTTGCGTTCAACCCTCCCGTTTTGTTGAGAGGTCCCGACACAAGTGGTTTGATGAATAATACCATGCTGAGCAAAATAACTAGCCAAGCAGACAAACTCAGTCCCATTATTAGTACGAACCACTTTGACAGGTTTGTTAAATTGCCTTTGAACCATAGCAAAAAAATTTCGGAGAACTTGTCTCACTTCTGTCTTATCAATTAGAAGATAAATCCAAACACCTCTAGAAAAATCATTTACTATTGTCAAGAAATAATGAGCACTACAAGAAGCAGCAGTTCTATAAGGACCCCATAAATCACAATGAATTAACTCAAAAATATTGGATGCTTTGTTATTACTAGAAACAAACTCTTATCGACATTGTTTAGCTCGGAAGCAGACATCACAACCCTTAATACTATCATCCTTATTATTTTTAGTACTAACAAAAGGCAGCAACTTAACAATTTTATGAGAATGATGCCCTAACCTTTGATGCCAAATATCACACGTCTTGCTCTCTGTAATCTTCATTGCTCTTGCTGATGCAATGCTTTGGAAATAATAGAGTCCCTCTCGCTGCTCACCTGCTCCAATCAGCATCCTTGTAGTTCGGTCCTGTATCACACATAATTTATTAGTGAACTGAACAACACAATTCGAC